GACTTCATCAAAGAAAATCTGGACGATCAAAACAATTCAGAATCGTTGTATCGTGCTATATCCAACTTCATGGACTCTTTAAATAGAGAAGAATATAGAAAAACATTCGATAAATGGATTGAAAGAATGCAGTTATGCGTAGATAACAATGGTGACTACTTCGAACATTTGATGAAATAAAACAAAGAAGGAGAATCAAAAGCAAAAAACAGAATGAAACATGTTGAAAAATAAATTATCATCAGTTACAACCAGCACATATCGTATGGAAATAGGTTTTATAAATAATTTAATATCATAATATTAGTTGAAGTATTATCAAATAGCATAGAAAGATAGAGCTTTTTTTTCTCTATCAGACTACATAAAAAGAAAATTTCTTAAAGCCTACTTTGAAAGAAAAAATTGGAACTCTCACTACTTTTGGTATGCCCTAAGTATATTGAATCACTTTAAATAATTTCAACACTTGCAACTATTAAGAATAATCGACATACTTGTATTATAGTCATGGTCATGATAGTTCAAGAAGAAAATTTGTATTCAGTGACGTGTAATATAAATTATGCTTTTCTTTTTTCGATTATCGAATGCATATTGTTTATATATGTCTTTATTTTTATCCATAAATATTTGTTTCTATATATGCATACACATTTGTTACTATCTAACAAGAAGGAAATGTTGGATGTGGGTGTGGTGTGTGGGTGGGTGTGGGTGTGGGTGTGGATGAGGGTGGTGTGGGTGTGAGTGTGGGTGCATGAGGATGTGAGTGATGAAAGGCGAGGTGAGGAGAAGATACCTACCCTCACCCTCACACCCTCACCCACACCCCACACCCTCAAGATAGGTCCACGTTTTGTGATTCCGCCATGAGCCTATATTTGAATTATAAAACTTTAACAGAAAGAGCAGATTTAGTGAAAATTTAATGACGTGCAGGGTAGTATGACTTATATATTTTTCTGAGAATATCAGCTTTATCCGATATGAATGAGTTGAGATATTGAATAGACAAAGTGAAAAAAATGATTCCGTCACATTTGGACAGTTTGCTGTGTTTCTCAATTACTGTTCATATAGGAAAATGAGAAGTTTCGTCCAGGAAAAGACTACGAGACGATGTCAAGGATCTTTTATTTTTGCTCTACGATAATAAGAGATCTATATCTTTATTAGACAAGCAAAATGTGTTTTAAATATATAGAAATTTCTTCGGTTTTCGACCATCCTTTTTTTTTTTTTTCTCGTAGATTTTGATTAAGAAAAGAAACCGAATAAATGGATACCCATTCGATTCGATTCGATTCGGTAGAGTCTATATTCGATTCGATTCGATTCGACCTACTTTTCAAAAATTCCAATTCGTAATCGATTCGATTCGGTAGAGTCTATATTCGATTCGATTCGATTCGACCTACTTTTCAAAAATTCCAATTCGTAATCGATTCGATTCGGCTGAGTCGAATCGAATCGAATCGAATCGAATTATTCGCTTATTCGATTCGGTTTCCGTCTCCGGTCGCCTCACAAACAACATCTGTTAGATTTGAATTCTCGAGTAGCGAATCCGCTTAATATTCATTCGAATCGACGATGTAACGATTCTATACATAAATGACTGATGAACAATATGAGGTACACGTCTTAGAGTTCCAGTGCGCTTGTGTTACTCACCCTGGCACTATTCGACATCTGTCGTACAAAGCGATCGATCGATGAGTTGTTGAGACCACTGCCAATGAGTCATTCCTATCGTCGAAGCTGAAGCAAACCGGCAGACACTCATTCATTCTTTTCTTTCTTTCTTTCCTTTCTCTTTGTTTATTTGACACTATTCGACATCTGTCGTACAAAGCGAGCGATCGATGAGTTGTTGAAGCCACTGCCAATGAGTCATTCCTATCGTCGATGCGGAAGCAAACCGGCAGACACTTATTCATTCTTTTCTTTCTTTCTTTCTTTCCTTCCTCTTTGTTTATTTGGCACTCATTCTCGTCCTTGACAGAAAATGAACTCATCGAATACAACCACGAGTTCACATGTGACTGACATTGCATCGCCCGATGCGACTGATGCATGCAAAAAGACCGGACACAGATGTCAATTGATCTTGGAGCATCTCTACGATTCTTACCATGGTTTCAAGACATGTGCCGAGGTTTGCAATGAAAGTGAACTTAAAACATATTTTCAAACGGTTGCCGTGACCCTCCTCGACTTCATCGATGAACTGTCAAGCTTTCTCAGAACCGAATTCGGTCTTGAACCGTGAGTTCTCTCTCTCTCCCTCTCTTTCTATCCACTATCTTTCAACTCCATTTAGAGTGACATCGGGCACGGGTCTCGCAGCGGCTCATCAAATGTGGATCGACATCAAGGCTTGGGTCAATGACGGTCGAGACAAAAAGGCGATCATCGCCGAAGTTCACCGTTGTGAGACACATCTCATTCAACAGTACTTAACCACTCTCTCAGAACCTGCACACCTCTCGGACAAATTTTGGCGAATTCTTCAAGACCAACTCAAGATCATCCAACAACAAGATTCGAGTCTCCATCTTCTCTAAATCTTTTATTTCAATAATAAATATTTATTCTCGCACACCTACACGTGCCTATCTCGTGTACTTCAAACTTTCTTAGTATAATTACAAACACCTATTTTATAAATCAGACTATTATCGTTTTGTTTTTGCTAATGTATTCGAGAGAAAATACAATAGCAATATTCGCATTGCACAAGTGGTTCAGTGATTTACTCAGAAAATGATTAAAAAAAACCTCGAAGATCACACATAAGTTAAAATACATTAAAACAGAAAAGAGAAAATGTTCAAATGCCACTTCTTTTTGTTGAATGTTGCTGTTGTAACTGTGATGCCAAACGACATTTACCATTTTGTGTAACTTGATTTGATACTACTGGAAAATCACTGCGAGATGTTGTTGGTACAGTAGTTGGTGAAACATCAGGAAGTTGTATTACTGGTGCATGTGTCTGAGATGGATATGTTCGCACAATAGATGTTGATGTAACAGATATTGATGATTGTTGCTGCATTGACTTTAAATCTCTCTCAGCTTTTACAATCCTCTTCATATGATCACAACCTTTTGATTGCAAATGTTTATAATAATTTGAAACTTGGATTTTACTATCATTTTTGCCTAATGAAATTAATTTGGCACATTTACATTTAATACTTGCTGTTCCATCATTATTGTTATCCAAATCAATGTTCAATGTATAATCAACATTTTCTTCTAAATTAAAATTTTCTAGATCGAATTTTTCTTTATTTTCAAAATACCATTTTTTGATCAATCTAAAAACATATTCTTTGTGCTCCGATAAGGATAATTTTTGTTATGTGCTGTTGTTGTTTTTTTCTTCGATCTTGTTAATTGGTCATTGAGTCGTTTTTCTAAAGCATCTTTTAATGAACGAAAGCCAGAAATAACTCCAGGTTTTATCAAGAATTTATGTTTTTTTAATTTGAAACACAGTTGATCTTTCAAATTTTCTAAGTCTTCGTCTTCAATATCATAATTGAAAATGTCAAGTGGATCTTCAGTAGTTAAAATTGATGAATTGAAAAAATTCGTAACCCGTAAATATTAACACTTTTACTGGTAAATAATCAAAATTACGAGAAGTCGACATAACAATAATCTTCTAAAATTAAATTGCAATAAAAATAAGAGAAATTTCGTAAATAATAGATAATATCCGAATCTTGAGAATACTTTTTGAAAAAAATCAGCTCAAAAAAAATAAACAATGGCATGGCACTTGAATGGTGCAGACTACAGATTAGTTAATACAATTAACCAATCATGGATAATAAGTTATTTTTTTCTCTTCAAATGCATTTCTAATGCTTACATAAAGCAGCGACATCTGTGAGACAAATATAGTTAGAAGGATTCTTATGATTCTCAATGAATCTTCCAAAAACCATATTAAAACAGATTAGAGATAATATACTCTAGCAATTAAAATAAAAACATTGCAGTGACTCTTCTAAACGTGTATTAATACAGGTTGTAATTGGTTTACATGATTCTTCTGTTACGTAACGTATTTTGGTCAAGGATACTTCCCAAAAGTGGTCGTACACGTTCAATTCGTTGTTATCAACATCCTTCGAAACGATTGTTCTGTTATTTATCTATAACCATCATTTCTGATGTTTCTGTTTTAATCGATACACATATCGCGAAATTTTTCTTTCATATCGATCAATTCGGTTCAATTTCTGGTTCTGTCTTCCATCCCGAACAGAAACTTCTCGCTCCTGTTTTTCTTTGCATGAAATACTATTTTTTCGCTGTGTTTTTATTTATCATCTTACAAGAAGTGATTCATTTCTTGTAAATAAAAGTGATACCAAAGTTGCATTTCACACCAGAATCCGCCTAATACTTCAATCATCTTGTTTTGTTAGATGTATAGAAGCGCTCATCGAATATCTATTACTCTTATCTATTTTTTCTTTTGCAGTATTGAAGAGTTTGTTGATAACGTCCTATTTTTTTCTCTGTTTCAGATTGATTTTCTAGTAACATTTATATCATTTACATTATTATCTGAATATTATTTCAAGTGAATTGTTTAGAAATCATTGAAAGAAGTAAATCTATATTCACTACTTAAATTTTTTTTCTGATAATGTGTTTATATTTCAAATCTCATAGGTTTATGTTCATCAGCAGAATTGTTTTAGATATAACACCCCAGGTCAAAAAATCTGACATCAGATCTTGAAAGATCTTGTCAGATCTTGCACATACAAGATTTTTTGTATGATCTTATCACAGGATCCGACAATATCGTATAAGCTGATTTTTTGTAAGATTTTGTCAGATTCTGAGTGAAAGATGCCAGCTAAAATCTTGCAAGAATCATACCGTACGAAACGTATAAGAACAGGTACTATGACACCGACCTGGTCAGACAAGATCCTTTAAGCTCTATCTTTAAGAAAAAACGCATGATTCAGAGAATATGAATTATAGATGATCATACAAGATCGCATACGAATCTGCGTCTGAACTCACGCGTCTATCGATTTTGCTTAGATTATTCGACAAGTGGGAATTCTTAGGAGCATTTGTTTGTTTTTTCAACAGCAGCGTGCATTTAATCTACCACACAACGACATGTATATGCATGAACAAGAGAAAAAGTCAACATTTAAGTGTGGAATGATTTCTACGTAGATACATAAACCCATAAAATACAATGTAGCATTAATACCACATAAAACGAAATCTAAGTTACCAGAAAAACACGATGATCTAATGACCAATCCAGATGTATTACTCGAGCAAATACAAGCAACTGTGATTACCCCATTTCTAATGAAGCGAGCCTTTAGCGGCTCATACCGTCACGTACAGTGATTAGTTGGTCATAAAAACAAGATATTCTCAAAAAATTTCTTCATCAGGCAGAGTTTCCATAGCTATTTATGGTGATGCTTTTGAAAAAAAAAATTACATTTTACTGACAAATGACAGTTCTTGAATTAAAACAATCACAAATGTTAAGTGGATCTGTCGTTGACGTTATAAAATTTTACAGGATGCCTACTTTAACTCTATCGTTTATTTGTTAAATAAAACTTTCTTTACTGAGATGACCAATACAGGTGGCTGCACAAAATCCGACATTGTAAATACGTTTTCCGAGGATCTTTACTTTTTTATGGGTAAGCATCCACGAAGGTACTCAATCACGCTTCTGGAATTTTGAAACCTTTTCTTCATTCTGTAGCCGATTTGCACCCTATGAAGTATCAGTTATCATCCTGGAACATCTTGTCATAAGGCTTTCGCTTCATATAAAACTCTCCGTAATATCTCTTTCCGTTTGAGCTGTAATCTCTCGAGACAACTATGTAGTAACTCTGCGGGACTAAATCGTGGCGAAATCGTTAAAGGAAAGGAACTGAGCTTGATTCACCTTAATCATTCAGGTCTAGACAACACTTAGCTTGCCCTTCTCCTCTTAAAACTTCATCACCACTAAAGAGGATCCTACTTAATCTATAATCCTCTTCCACTCACACAACCACTGATTTTAGAACTCTAAGAGCATAACTGAGAGTGCTAGGGGATTGGTGCACGCCACAGTCATCATGCAATGCACACCAATAAAGTGGCAAAGATCTCAGTCTATAGCTATAAACAACCATCCAAAGCTACACAAAAACGCAGACCCCGATATTTGCGTAGCGGTTAAAAAAGGTGTCATGATCTCTCAAAAACCATAAAAGTAGGGGAAAGTCACGGAATCCCTAAAAGTAGAATAAAGTACTCATTCAGATATAGATACGGTGACATACTCACGAGGATATAGAGAGAGGGTGAGATACCCACTAGGGTCTGTATAGAGTGAAATACCCACGAGGGTATATATAGAGAGGTACTCACGAGGGTATATATATGAAGAGAGTGAGATACCCACAAGGGTATATATTGAGAGAAAGTGAGATACCCAGGAGGGTATACATATAGAGAGAGAAGTATTCACGAGGGTATATATATATAGAGAGATACTCACGAGGGTATATATATGGAGAGAGGTACCCACTACGTTTGATTCAGAATGATTGATTCGTTTGGTAAGTTTTGGGAGCTTGATGCCCCTTTTATGTGGAGCTTCCTTAGCATCAAAGGATTTTCACAGAGGCTGGTGTTAATAAAATTTATGATCGGTGTATTAAGATGCAACGGCAGTCTACTTCAATATTCGATTGATTAATAGAAATCTTTGGAAATAAAATCCGTCTGATCGTACAAGATCTTATGGATGGATCATGCTGGATACTTATTGTAATTCTTGATATAAGAAATCAGAGACTACGATTTTTCGTACGATTTTCCGTGTGATCTTGTATGATCATACAAGATAATGGTACAAGATCATATATGATCGTACAAGAATCTGATGCAGATCTTAGTCTCCGATTTGTTGACCTGGGTAATTTTTTATTGTTTTTCTTTTCAACAGTGACATCTTGTTTTTGTATGCGGTATTTAGCTTGAAAAATAAACTTTTCTTCCTTATATGAGGCTAATTAGATTCATCATTGACATATCAAGAGGCAAAGGCAATCTACGATTTACAATTTTGAATAAATTAACTGAAGACTTGCGAAATGATTTCGTCTGATCATACAAGATCGTACGTATGCATCATACTGGAAACTTACTGTAATTCTTGATATAAGAAATCAGAGACTACGATTTTTTGTAAGATTTTCCGTATGATCTTGCATGATCATACAAGATAATGATGTAAGATAGGATACGAACGTACAAGAATCTGAATCTGATCTTAGCGTCTGATTTCTTGCCCTGGGATATACATTCTAAGTTGTTCGAAAAAGTTCTTTTACTAAGAATCAGACACTGGGCTGAAACTAATCGTTTAGTACCTTCAGAACAATCGGGTTTTCGTCCAAAATGTCTTTTACCCACTCGAGTACATTCGATATATCAAGAAATCAAAAATAATATGGCAGCCAATATTCCGACACTGGCACTATATGTCGACTACCAAAAGGCTTATGATCATGTATGGCATGCCGCTCTTCTTTGTAAATTAGAAAGAATGGGTATGCCTCTCAACTTATTGAAAATGACTGTTAGTTGGTTAAAAGATAGAAAAGCTTACGTAGAATATGGTGAGAGAACTTCACAGATTTTTAATATCAATATAGGTCTTCCACAGGGCAGTAGTCTTACCCCGTACTTATTTATAGTGTTTCACTCAGATCTAACAAATTATCTGGGAGCTCATTCATGTCATCTATTTGCAGATGATCTTTGTGTATTAGTTAGACCCTCAATAACGAGAAACTTAGGTCCCATGATCGATTACTTAGAAAAAGAAGGTACACGTGTTTGTAAACAGGTATTTATGTACTCAAAAAAGTGGAAGCAACCGTTAAATGTTTCTAAAACGATAGTACAACTGTTTCATACTCAAGTAAAAAGACCGATAGTAAACGTAACATAGACGGAAACAAAATCGAATCAGTCAAAGAATTCAAATACCTAGGGTTTACTTCGACGGATAGACTATCGTTGAAGCCGACAGTCGAAAAAAGCATTGGAAATATTCAGAGATCGCTAGCGAAACTGAAATGGTTGAAATCTGGTCGCGAAATGTCATGTAAAGCCCTCCGCCAATGTTTCTTCGCATACACTTTTCCTCATTTCGCATGGCTATTCCCACTTTTCCCTCTCCTCCCACAATCTCAACAACGTTTATTGCAACAAAAATTCCGTGTAGGACTTCGACTGGTGCATCCCTGCCCCTTCGTTTCTGCGCATAATCTATTTAATGTCACTTCTGAACAGCCCTTAGAATTTTACGTCAAAAAATATATTCAAAGAAGATTAAAAACTATGTTCATAACTGATATTGGTTCTTCATTATTCTATGAAGATATCTTCGGTTGGGATAATTTTTGTAAAAAGAAAAACGATCACCTTGGCCACTTTTTTTTGTTCACGCCGTGTGCGACAATTGATAGATCGACACGAATCGCTTCTTTTAAAGTGGTTGATCTTAATAGATGCGAATTGATAACACAGAAATATGCATAACTGCACAGCTTGATTATAGGTTTCTGTTCTTTTCTCCTTCTTTCTTCTTTTTCTTCCCTTTTTTTTCGTTTTAAGTCTTTTAAGTCTTTCCCTTTCGATTTTGTTTTTTCTTCTTTACTTTTTTTCTCTTGTCTTTTGTTTTTACAGGTTCTTTCCTTTTCTAGTTACTCGCTCTACTTGTGTATCTCCACTGCTGTTTATCATCGTTGTTTCTCTCTTTCTCTCTCTCTCTCTCTTTTATACTGGTTTATTTTTATTCATATATTTATCCCCATAATCGTATATTGGTACTCAGCACAGTATATTGTTGGCACAATGTATAACACTTTGCTTTAAAGATGTAGCTATTCGCTTATACATCTATATTTCTCTCTTTTATATTGTAAGCACTTCCGAGTGTTACATCTACTAGCATAATAAAAAAGAAACAGATAAAACATTTCGAGTTTAAACTTGAATTCTATAATGCCTTCGAACAACAATCACTCAATCTCGACTCATTTCGCACGAAATTTTGGCTCGAAGAGAAAAAATGGTTTGTTACATACAGTCGAAGCTGGAAAGCCAATGGGCATTCAATGCTCTATTCGAATTCCTCTTCTATTATCGTCTGTTCACTACATGAGATGATGCAAATATTTGTGTCAGAATCAACTGCGTCAAAACCAGCATTTTTTCATGTTCATCGTATAACAATTAATGATCACTATCTAAAATGTCAGTTCTTACATCGGTACACCAATATCAAAGAGTTGTACTTGTCAGAAGTTACTACTACATTTCCTACGACGCTCAAAGATCTCATGGTCGATT